CCAAAAGAAAAAGACCCGGATATTTCTTTGAAGCCTCTTCAAACTCTGAATGAGTAAGGGCACAGTAGGGATCCGTATAGTGGGCAACGAGGAAATCCGACAACATGAAGCTGCGGCCTCGGCCTTTGCTGTAGAAAGGGGAATGATCTGGCATGATCCAGCGTTTAGCGGACAGCTCCCCACTGCGAAAAGTGCTCTCATCGTGGCATATAAGCACACATGGTTTCGCAGTAGGGGATTGCCAGTCGGGATTGTCGCCCTCTTTCACGGTGTAATAATGAGCTTTCCGTTCGCCAAAAAAAAAGGAAAAACGCCCAAAAAAAAAAATGAAAAGAAGAAGGGAAAACTGTACCAACTGAAGAAAAAACGAGTAGTGTCATGACCTAAGGCATATAAGAAGAGTGGTTTGTGCGAAGGGAAAAAACATTTTTGAAAAAAGGCGAGCGTAACTTTGTAGCCCGTCGAACGGCGGTTCGAATGGTATATAATAGTATGGGTTTACTGTTGAAACCAGGGAGGAGACACATTTACCAAATTGAGGTGTCAATCGGAGTCTGAGGTCCGCCGTCAGTGGTAGGGATGACTTGAAATTTTCTCAAAGTCACTCTGATCTACTCAGCTTTTGATGCTGAATCCAAATAAAATAAGCACAAAAGGAAGGGTGAAAATTCAGCACGAGGAAAGTTCAGTACGGAAGTTTCAGCACGGGAAAGATCAGCACTAGGAAAGATCAGCGAAAGTATTGATATTTCACAATTTGGGAGCAAAAGTCAAAATTGTGATTCTTGCAAAATGCCAAGAACAGTATAAAGCAAATGATTGTTTATAAACTCTGTAAAGAATTATGTATAGATTATGTCTAAAAATATAAAGCTAATTACGAGATTGACAGATAAGTATTAAAATTAAGTTAACATTCTACTAATGGGATTATAAGTGGATTAGTCTTGATAACGCTACATAGAAGTAGTATAAATAAATGAAGGAACATTTCTGTTATTATCATAAACTTCTCACTTGCTCAAAATGGCTAGAATATCAATTAACGGTACTACAAAACAAAAAGCACGTTTGGATATAGATGGTTTCTCATACATAAAAGATCGCACTACGAATGAAAAAACATATTGGCGTTGTATTAATTATTTTTCTCAAAATTGTCGCTCTCGTCTTCATACATGTATTATTACGAACAATATTGTGAAACCTGCTACTGAACATAGTTGTAAAACTGATGGTACAGTAAGTGAACTTCGTAAATTTGACGAACAAATCGTTTATCGTGCGCTTAACACTCAAGAAACACCGGATCTTATCGTGACACATTGTTGTAAAGGTATGTAGCTGAAATTTAGTAAGATTCTCCAGAAGAACCTCTCAGCATAATAATTGAAGCTTGAAAACTTCGCGTTGATTTTAAAATATAGCTAAGACTTAGCTGTAGAGCATAGTAGAACCTGATTTCATTTTCATATTCTACAAAGTGGTGCATACCTACCTACATAATCCTGAAACGACTCCTAAACTCATGAAAAGAACGTCGCATGCAATATAGACATTTATTTGGCAGAGATGGCGGACCCGTCTCTATCACGTGTACCACCGCGTGATCACGTAAAACGACGCATTCGGATGTTACGACAAGATAAAAATTTACCATCAGCACCGAATGATCCAAATTTTGCTTCGGTTCCAATTTCATTAACAAAAACTTTACGTCAAGATCAATTTTTACGTTGTGGTACGGGGGCTGGTAAGGCATCTGAATCCATAATATAATGTATTTTCTTATGCTATTTTTTATGTTGATACCATAGGTGATGATAGAATAATGGTATTTGGTAGTACAGAACAACTTGATATTTTACAGTCAGTGGATGATTTTCTTGTTGATAGGACATTCAAGGTATGCCAAGTAGCTTATTCTTTATTTTAATAATAAAGAAGCTTATTATTATTGATTGTTCTTGGAACAAGCATGTATTATTCGATGCATATTCGATTATTTCGGATATATTGGTATGTAGTCGTGGGTGTTTATGATTATAGTTTCACGGTTTACGAAAATACGTACTTTATTTAGGACGTCTTCGACCGAATCAAACAAGACGACAGCCCAAGTTTGGTATTGATTTTTGGAATATGTACCATCGGACAACGGACGCGGTCACGAGAACAAATAACGCTGCGGAAGCTGATCATCGTCGAATCGGCTCGGTTTTTCAGTGTTCACATCCAACACTTTGGTCCTTCCTAGAGAAGCTAATTGAAGAAGAAAATGCGACACATATGGAGATTTTACACATTAATGCTGGTCAAGCACCCAAATTGAAAAGTAAAAGAAACGAACGTTTTGAAAAACGTTTGTTAAATATTATCTCTAACCCACACGCAGATGTTTTAAAACAACGTGATTCTATTGCAAGTAATATGTCATTATAATCATGTATGCAGACGAGAGTGACAATTTTGAGAAAAATGATTAATAAAATATGTTTTTTCATTCGTACAGCGATCTTTTATATATGAGAAACCATCTATATCCAAACGTGCTTTTGGTTTCGTACTTTACAACTTCAATTTTAAAACTTATCTCTTAATCTCATAAGTTTGGTACTTGCTTTTGACTTTTTATCAATACTGTCGCTGATCTTTCCTAGTGCTGAAATTTCCGTGCTGAACTTTCCTCGTGCTGAACTTTCCGTTTCCCGCACAAAAATGTTCGAGGTCAGCAAAGTGGGGAAACCATGCGGTTTCTCAGAACCCACTGAAAAAAATTGGACAAAATCTTGAGAGGTCACGCGAGAACTGAAGCGTGATTCTCGCGACGAAAAATCCTGCGTTTCGTCTGATAAAATGCGTGCTTTTCTTCCTTAAAGATCTCACGAGGTAAAAACACGCATTTTTATCAAGCGAAAGGGAGGATATTATTGTCGCAAGACCTGTTGATATAAAAGTCTTGCGAGATCTCGCGAGGTTTTATAAAAAAGTTCTAAAAGGGTTTTCTTGCAGGACCTCGCCTACATTTTTCTCACACTTTGCATGATTTATGCTTATTTTTCCTCGCGAGAACCTGTTGGATTTATAATTATATTTTTCTCAGGAGAACTGGCGTGATTGTTACTGTATTTTTATTATCCTGCGTGGTTAAGTTTTTCTTGATTTATAAGACGAATACTGTGCGGTTGGACTAACTTGCGCTTGTGAATTTTAGATTAAAAGTCCTAGTTATATTGTTGATTGTGCAATCTTGATATCTCGCGAGATCTCGTGTGAACTTTATTATCCTTTTTTGTAACTTGGAAACTATCGACACCAAATATAACGACTATCTCTTTCATACTATTTGAGGCAGTGGCCTCTACAAACACTGTAAAGTTTTATATTATTTTATTATTCGTTTTTCCTTCATTCTATTCCATAAACATACGCAGGACGATTTTTCTTTCTCTTTATGTACATATAATCATCTGTCTTCTAGGCCTATTCTTTCTAAAGTACGTTTGTGATATATATTAGTATGAAGGCAGAATGTTTTATTTTTTCTCTCCCTCGTTTGAAGAAGTTCCTTCTTAGTATAAATATCTGCACGTTTCTTGATAGAAAAATATTTCTTTCTATCAATGTTTCATCTAGTGTACACACGTAACGTGCATGTATTTTTAATTTTAATTTTCTAAATTTTCATTAAACTGTCTCCACTAGTGAAATTTTTCATCATTCAAGTATAGTTACAAGATCAATTTAGCCATTTATGTGCTTGTACTCTATTAGACAGCAAATAAGTTTGATTGTTGGTTTTTTATCTCCTTTTTAAATTTCTTGCTGCTAAGCACTTTCGAGTGCTGATTCACAGTCTTCATTCTAACCTTGTAGTTGCTGGTCAGTATCTGTCACTACTTTTGTTGTTGTTTCTAGTAAAATATACCAACTCATTTTATAGATTTGATCAATTTTATTCGTCTCATTTATTATTTGTTTTTTAAGTATTTTTACTCATCAGTAATCATTAAAATGTCGCCATCGAAAAAACCGAAAAAAAGACAAGCAGATAAAAGAAGTTTGAATGAATTTTTTCTTGTTCAACAACATAATATATAAAATAAACATGAAATAATTATGGTCAATAGAGAAGCATTGCCAAATAGGACGGATATAGCTGCCTTATCAGCAGGTACTATGCTACAACTAACCAAATTTGGGGGCCAAAACTATACATTTATTGAATCTTTTAGTAAGTTAAGTAAAGCTGTGGACCGTCCGCTTATTTATTTTCTTCTGTACTTCCAGTGAATGAAGCCGATGCAAAAGCATTTCAAAAGAAATTGTTAGAGAAGCAAAATAGTACACCGCTTTTACCAAAAGAAACAACGACACTGATCTCTCATCGAAAATCCTCATCATTCGATTTTATTTCTGCATTATTACTACCATCTAATCAAATACAAGAGGGTTGCTCTAATAATGAAGTGATGGTTAAATCATCTCAGCAACAACGACAGACGCACTGTATCAGGACTCAGAGTAGAATAGAACTTCCTTCGTCTTCAACATCGCCGCCCGTTTTCATTAAGCTACATTCATTTGAATATGAACATTCAAAATGTAAACACTCATACTCACGATCACCATCAAGATCAAGCACAAGTCGAAAAAAAGGGGTCAAGTTATTTAAACCGACAACAATCACAATTAATCTCGATAATCAACAAAGTAGAGGAGATAAACATGAAGAGGGTGCATACAAACAAAGCGAACATGAGAGCGATGGAAAGCATATATCCGATGATGCTGATTCAGTTATTGAACAGAAGTCGCCAGCAGAAATAACAACAATGGGTGATCTCCTCTTAAAATCAGGTGTCTGCACGGGTACTTCATCAATCATTATCATCAAAGAGAGACAGATTAAAAATTTTACAGCTTAAACAAAAAGTAATGAACTTAGAGGAGAAATTGTCCGCTCAAAAAATGAAATATCAGCAACAACGGCAAGAAACGAACATCTTAAACGACCCAAGAGCGACAAAAAAACATGGAACGTGCGTCGGAATCCCGTTCAAAATATTGAACCCCGTTCCGATCCCGTTCAGAACTGACATAATTTTCCGACTTTACCCGTTCCACACCCGTTCATAAATTTGGATTCAATGGAGTTCAACAAACCGTTTCGCGGAGTCCATAAAACGGGCGTTCAAGAACTAGTTCCCTATGACTTTTTCTCGTCCAAGTCAGGGGGAGTTCAACCACCCGTTCCGCATGGTCTATTAACGCCCGTTCACCTACTAGTTCCCTATGACATTTTTCCATTCAAGTCAAAGGGAGTTCAGCTACCCGTTCCAAGGAGTATTTTGAACGGGAGTTTCGAACTGAAACTAAATTTCCTCTCATTAAAACGTATACCACAACAATCGCAACTCAACAAATGAAACAGAAAAAGATAAAAAAACTGGAGAGTTGACCAGCGCAGGAGGGGCCAGGGCAAATTCTGAAATTCATAAACCCTGTAATTATGCTATTTTATAGTGGTCTGTTGTATAAGAAAAAGTTTATAGGAAATTAGTGGTCTTCGTTATATCGTCTGATCACACATTATCTCCTATTGATAAACTGTTAATAGAGTATGTCCATCCGCGGCGCACCATATCGATTCTTTTCAAGTTTAGAACTTTTAGCTGAAGCGGACATCTCTACAAAGCAGCAACAATTCAATGAGACGTGTCTCAACAATTACCCAAGAGCGAAAAAAACCATGGAACGTGTGTCGGAACCCCGTTCGAAACTGACAACATTTTTTGACTTTACCCGTTCTATACTCGTTCAAAAACGCGGAACGCCAGTTCCTACGCTAGTTCCTATTTCTCTTTTATAACCCTAGTGAAACTTCTTGTACTCAACGGCTTGTCCACGTAACGCGACACTTCGCTGATTAAGTTTTTAAAAACTTTTTATTATCCGAGAACCGATATGAGCACATCACTAGATGCAGTTTTTCGCGCTGATTATGAATCCGATCTCCTTAACAACTAAAAATTAAAATTTCGGTGGAAAAAATTTCATTTAAAAGTTTGACCTAGAAACTCTTTTAAAAAATTTAAAATTTACAGTATTCGATAGAAAACTAAATTCTCTACAAAATGGCTCATTTTTTTCGACAATTCGACTTTAGGAACAAAACTTATGCCTATTCGATGTTTCAAGGTATCAGTCAAGTTTGAAAGCCTGAAAAACATTTTTCAACTTTATTTTTCGCATAGATCGATAGAATATCACCAAATCGATGGCAAATATAAAAATCAAGTTTTTGGAGGACATTAAGTGCCTGATAGTTCACTGACAAAAAAGTATGTCACGTCGTCACGAAAAATGTCACATCGTCACATTTATTTATAGACATTTATAAGCGAGGGAAAGGCTTTGAAAGATATTCTTTTTAATATTGGATAGCTCGGAAGTTTCTCTACAACCTTCGCTCTCGACAGTTTCCATTTGCTCGTAATTAAAGTAATTTCGCAGGAAATTAGCGTTTAATTGGATGTACTCGCAATTTAGTGCCTTTTTCTGTCACGTCCGTCGCGCACCGTATATTCTCTCTCAAAGCTGTGAATCTTAACGAAACTTTTCCGTTCTTTTACCGTAGATAGAAGACAGTGAACTGTTCAGAATGCCGCAAGAATCAACTCTCCAGTTCTTATACTTTTTGTAAAAACTGAAACTTAATACATCAAAAATGTCATGTCATTAGGTTTGGACAAGCCGCCAAGATGCTGGAAAAAACACTAAGAAGAAAGATCTTAGTTCTTTAATCTTTCACTCAAGATCTTGGCAATAGACATTTCAAGAACTTAAATTTTTCTATTTAAAAATTTTCTTTACATTTTGTTTTCATTTATGACAGTCATAGCCATCAGATATACGACTCTATAGAATCATAGGTTCTCCCTTAAACACTATGTTCAAGAAGGAAACAAATCGAAAGTTATTCTAAGTGTGAAAATATTCGCACTTATATTTACACAAGAGTGTAAAATAAAGCGATGATTCAAGATTTTCTACGATCTTAGTACAAGAAGTCAAGAAATTCCAAGATGTTCAAGATCTTGACTTCTTACATTTTCTTACCAAGATCTTGAATCAAGATCTTACTGAAAAAATTCCAAGCAGTCAAGATCTTGGTACAAGAGGTTTCGCTAGGGATGCCTATTCAAGGGTGTTAAAAAAATAAAATGGTCTTAGCATCATCTCTCATTAAATGGGCAAAGTAGCTATGTATTGCTTGCCGGTTTATAATTAATTATCTCT